CACGAATGCTTATCATCCACAGTCAGACAGTTTAGTGGAAGGGCTCATTTGGACATTCAAAGGGATCATCGTGAAGTATATGAACTTTCAGCATTCGAATTGGGATGGTTATTTGCCATCTTTTCGATATGTATATGTTATAGGGGTGCAAAGTTCTATTGGTGTTTCACCATATAAATTTTTATATAGTCATAATCCAATATAACCAATGGAATTAACTTGACCTTCAAGATTACCATGAGATACCAATACTAAGTCATGGGATTAATATTTGAAAAACATTCTTCCACTTGTCTGAGCAAAGTTTGGTGAACAATTGGGTTGCATACAAGTGGGACAATAAAGTGCTATAACTTCCATCATCATCCACTTGCAAAATACAAAATGGATGACTTAGTGTTAGTCTATTTTCCATATAACGCACTTTATCTCTCTCCCTTAAGCTAACTGGAAAAGGCTTGGTTTGTGGATGCTCCACCAAGAGGAAGGACATATGTATGGATGCCTAATATGTACGATTTCAACTTTACGGGTAGGAATATATCTTGCTCAAAGGTATATTATACTTTTAAGTAGCTACTAATCAATGGGAATAAAACCCATGCCATTTGCTTCGAACCACATGAAGTGCACTTTATTTTTCTCTCTTTAAGCCAATTGGAAAAAGAGTAATTACTTGATGAAAAAGCCCTTAATGGCTATTTTATCCCCATTTATCCTTTAAAGTTCCAAGGATCCATTGTGACAATATATTAAAATCTCATCCCATGATCGCATACACTATAATTTTTTGGTTTATCTAAAAGGCTCTTTTTTGAGTGGAAAGGACCATATTGAGTGTTGCGGCAAGTTGGACCACAAATTTATGAAGTTTGGCATGATGTCTAGTAAATTGATCCTCGAAAATTATGCATGTGTAGTAGTTAAAATGCTTCATACAAAGGGATTATAAACAAATGGTACTACCTACAAATCCACTAATGCCTTCTGTTCTTCCAAATCCCGGCCTATCTACAAGAGAACCTTAATAGTCTTCCATTATTCTGAGAGGAGGGGATGATATAAGATATAAGTGTATGGCTACGATGCCATATATTAATATTACCATAATGGGATTTTAGTAGCCATTATATTGGTTTCAATCCGGACCATTCACTCTTGTATATAAATTAGGGCTTTTTAGTTAATTGATATGCACACTTTCTATATTCCCTTTCCATATTCTATGCACTCATTATATGTGTGTGTATATGTATGTATATATATATAGGAATAATATTTAAACTTATAATAGTAAAAGTGTATTATAAAAGATTTATATATACAATACCTTTAAAAATATAAAACAAAAACATAACTTAATAATTTTTAAACATTAATATTACCTTAATATTTACATAATAATGTCAACCATACCATTACCTTAATTTTATGTTTTTAATTTTAAAATAAATTTAATTTTTTATTTTTTATTATTTGTGGTGCAGCACTATTTCTTCTTAAATATTTAAAATAAATAAAATACAAATATTTAAGGAAATTTTGCTAAATAGGAGAAAAATATGAGAGTCATTTTATATTGTTACAAATGGTGAATAAAAAATAGATGTTAAATTATATTTTTTTATGATGTTAAGTTTCTTATAATAATTATAATATAAAATGTTATGTTTTCATATAATAAAATTTGCAATATCACATAAAGTTACAAAAATTGCATTAAATGTTTTGCATCTTATTTATTATGCTATAGTAAAAAATTACAATACAATTAACTTTACAACATTTTTTACTTTTATTTACTAAAAAGTTATCTATAATGTTAGAGTTTGGATTAAAAAATTTTTAAAGTTCACTATGGTCATAAGGTTAGTAGTGGGTAATTTTTTTAAACAATGCAATATCTTTAAGTGGGAGATAAACATTAATGTTGTAATTTATAATAAAGTTTTGCAATATAGAAAAACTCATTATGTTACATCTTGTAACATTAAATTTCCAAAAAATTGTTTTATTATTTTGTATTATCTATTTTGAAGTTAGCTTTTTTATTTATTCATGTTAATCAAGCTTTTTATTATTCAAATAATTCCCTAATGAGTGAGGCTAAACAAAGTTTACTTTAATAGTTTATTTTCATTATTGTTCTCAGATGTGTCCTTCAACAATGGTACTCGCAAATGCCGATCTCACCAAACCCGGCGTCCTTGTTGATCCTCACTGGATGCAGCCATACTGGTATCATAGCTCAAGGACTGGAGGAGTTTTTCTCCAATCGACCATGGAATCTACTGCCGCATGGTGGGCGTCTTTGGATGAGCCAAGCATCTGGGTGAAGCCCAGGAGGTTGTCGAGAGCATGCCTTTCGAGCCGGATTCGAGTGCCTGGCTGACTCTACTGTCCAATAGTCATGGGGACTTCGAGAGGGGTGATGGATCTTGACCGGAAGAAATCGTTACCTTATATACTTTTGTCGAATATGGACGCATAGATTTTTTCACGCTAGAACGCAAGGAGCGTTCTGGCAACCAACGAGTTACACTAGAAGCACACAAACTTAAAGGTTTTCTAAACGCGATTGGCTCCATGGTTCTCATCTCGGCCTGTAACTTCCATCTCGATCCGTTTTTGCTCGTCCCGAGTTCTCTGAATTTGCTCTAGAGAAAACAAACTCGCAAGTTGCCATCTTCACTGAGAGATGGCTAATCTTTCATGTACGTACATGAACTCTGCTCATCAATCTTTTCCTCTTCTGCTGCAGGTGACTGTACTTTCTCTGGCTTTCACGCTGCTCCATGTCTTGAGCGAGGGAGACGAGGAG